GTGTTGGACATGAACCTCAGCTTCAAGACCCCGGCATTGCATGTCGGACTTCATCTGCCCTGATCCCTCGACTACCAGGCCCCCCAGCATTGCATGCCGAGGCCCCTTGTCACAAACCCAGATTCAAGAACAAGCTGACTCGGAGAATGCACGTGAAGATGGATTGAAGACTAGGGTTCATGCATGTTCTTGACGTGTTCTTCATGAGATCTTCATCCTGATCTTTGCTCACTTGCACCCCTTGACATCAAGACCTCGGCTTCACTCTCTCACACACCGAGGTGCTCACTCGACGACCCAAGAAGAGCGCTCAGTACCCGGTTTGTTCCGGGCTGACCCGCAACACTTAGCCTTCACTATATATAGTTTTTAGGACCAAAAACCTAATCATCTTTTATCTTATATTATTTCCTACCTGTTTTTAGCTTTGAGAACTTGCCTCTTTTGTGAAACTTAATTATTCTAATCTGATATCTCGTTTTCATGTGAAGATCTTGTTCTCTTTGATTTCTTTTATTCACCAGCATCAAAGCTTCTAATCATGATTAGCTACACATCTTGCAAAGGATTTAGTGAGCTTTTTATGATTAGTGAGTAGTCCGCTTAAGAGGTTTTAGATATTTCACGATAGAGTAGCGAGTTTAGGGGTCTAGTCTTGCATGTTTCATTCTCTAACCGATCATATCTCTAAGCTGGATCCATGAACATCACATGCGGTCCAGATCTAAGACATATCTCACATCAAAAGTGTTTGTAGAAATGTCTGAACCAATCGGTTAGAGGTTTAAGAGTCTTTCATCATGAGAGTGATAGTTTGTTCTTCTTGAATGACTTATTGAACGGGATCTTAAAGCTGGCTGATTCATGCTTCTCAAAAAGGATTTTGGTATGAAAGAGGATCATTTTAGATGTTTAATACCTTCATGAGAGGATTAACTTATTTTGAGTTCATGTTAAATGAAGCTGCTTGATAATATTGATTCATTAACTCGCTAGTTTAGCTTGGAAGCACCCGAGTCTTTTATCCTGTCTAAAGCCTCTGCCTTTATCATCTAATATCATCATCCGATCATTTGCTTAGTTTATTTGTTGTTATTTGCATCTTAATTTGGCTTAAATTTCATTGCTTGTTTCATTTCTGCTCTTACTTGCATCTTAAGTAGATTAAACCACCCAACCCTTTCTTGATCAACTTGAATTAAGTTAATAAGCATCATAGATTAGTGCCTCTCCACAAGTTTGGTTTGATAACCCTTTGTACTACATAGACATGGGATTGATACCTCTATAAAGGCTGAAAAGTCTTAGCTATCAGCTACACAAAAGTTTATTAAAGAGTAAGAATGGTTGAAGTTTGGAGGAATAAATCATCTTATCTTCCAAGGATAGTAATGGAGAATATTACAAGATCAGAAAATAAATTTCCTAATATAAGTCTTAATCAAACCATTGTTGGGAATAAATTCGATATTTCTTACGTGGATGAATCACATGCACGTGGCTTCTATGTTTTTTTTTTGCAGGAACGCCCCCCCCCCTTTCTCCGGACCAAATTAGGATTATTACTGGACTTACAACCCAATACAATCTAATCATATATAGCACCAGACCTCCGATTCATTTGGATTCAGGAGGGGAGATCCAGCACGATAGGCTACATGTTCGCGGGTTCCTCGTATCTGACAGTGTAGGCCATGGTGTCAGGGACAAGGAGGTCGAAAAGTGAGTGGTCAGGATGAGGAGAGGTCACCTTCTCTATGTCCTAGGCTTAAATTCGGTAATCCAAAAGGGTCAGGATATAAGGAAGTGTGGCCCACATAGGTATCCGGAAAGCGGAGTCATCCATCTAAGCAATCCCGGCAGCCCAGTCCTACTATCGAGGGATCCAGGTCAGGTATGAGTGAATCCATAAGCGGGAAATACTATTCAAATTTCCCTCCATTCGATAATAGGAAGATGTCTTAGTCTGATTTGATTGTTTATACCCTTACAAATCCACGAGATTGCCATTTAATGCATCTTTCTTACATGTGTCAGGCGACAGTGACCTTTCACAGAAACTAGAGGGAAAAACAAAGGTTCAGCGAAAGCCATACCGCGTCTGAACCGCCGACCCAATCCATAAATTGAGGGAGAAAGACGCGCCAAGGAGCGGTCTCGTATCAGGCATAACATGCCAAAAAAAGTTGGTGAGACCGTCAGAAGTGTGATGCAAGCAAAAGAATCAAACCGAGTCAAGTCGGGTCGTGGATCGAACACCCGATTCACTATCAGCAGACCGACCCGGTATACTAACCCGGGTCAGGTAAAATCCTATAAATATTTTATCACTTCCAACAAGAAAGGGGGACACACACTTTAACCATCATAAGGTTCATAATATCTCTCTAGATACTTGTGGGTCTTAGACGCTAGCATTTTATACTTTGCAGTCACTATTAGGACCATCTCTTCACTTCCTTTCCATTGTAGTCCCTAAGCCGTGGAGTTTTTCCACCAACAAACTTTTCCTTTCCTCTCTTTTCACAACAAAAAGTCCATCACCACTAAAGGCCTGAGCTGATTCCACTATTCTCAAGAACACTCGGCCCACTTTATTTTCCATAGTTTTCCGATCTCTTTATGCTCTCCAATTAGTCACTTAGTGTACTTTTTGGTTGTTTTCTGACTTGAGCGTCAGAGAGCCTTCAGAAAATACACCCTCATCATATGTTCCAGGTCTTCACGTGTTTCTCGGTTTTGCAGGAGACTTGCTCTCACAAGAAGACCAAAAATCTCCTAAACAGCCATCACGATCCAGAAAATCCATCAGAAGTTTAATTTTGCGACTTAATAAACTCCATTTTAACCAAGAAAAACTAATTAATTAAGAAAAGAGCTAAGGATAGAGTATCTGCATGAAGGAACCTTTTGAAGACAAAAAAATAATAATAATAGATTGTGGTGATTGAGAGAAGTGGACATGAACACCAAGTTTTCCATGCAACCACAAAGAACAGAAGACCTCAAAACAAGATACAAAGCCTGATTGATTTGGAGGTGAATGAATAGTTTAACAATGAGGGGAATGAATAGTTTAATAATGAAGATTTGGGAGAGGTAACAGAAGCTTACTTTAAGAAGTTATTCTTCTTGAAGGATGTAGGGTATCATCTCATAGAAATACAAAAAAAAATCATCCTTCTATCAACCAGATCCAAAACCATATACTTCTGGAACCAATAACTATGGAGGAGATATGGATATCAACGTTTGACAAAGGGTCGTGCTTGTTAAGTAAAAATGAAACACTGGCCTACGGCGTTTGATTTGATATGAAATTGAGAAAGTCATATTTACTAACATTTATTATGTGTAGTTTCAAGGCAAAATTATTTTTTTTTTAAAAAAATTTTGGTAATCTTACATTCTCACTAATATCTCAAACCTCATCTATTTCTCTTAAGAAAATAATTTTTTTTTTTCGTTTTGATTGTTCACATCTGCTTATTTTCTTTCTTTAAGCACAATGGTTCTTTTTTTTTCCCATTTGATTTCATTTTGCTTATTTAAAATATTTAAAAAGTTTATAATTTATATAAAAGATCCTATTTTATATATTATTTTCATGTACGATTTTGTCTATTAATCACACTATACTTAAAGCTTTCTATTGTAAATTCTTGGTGAACAAATTATTATTATTTTTTCCTTTTTTCACTTATGTTTCTGCATTATATTTATTTTAAATTATCTTTTATTTTTGTTATGGCCTCAAAAAAAATTCTGAAAAAAAAACTAATGTTATTAAACACTCACGAATATTTAAAAACTAGGTATTTAGCCTCGCACCTTGTACGGGCGGAAATGTTTCATCAATTAATTACATTAGTTAGATTATTAAATTTGTTACCGATAATAAACCTAAACAAATAAACCTAAATAGATGATTAAATTTGTTATTTGATACTATGATAACAAACCAAACACAAATTAACAACAATATAATACATATAATAAAAAAAATTACAGACATATTGTTAAGACTATCCTTTTTAATCTCTCTCTTGAGGAAATATTCTCTCCGCTTTGCCTGAAGCATCTATTCTTCTCGTTGATTCTTATCTTTCTAACAATCGTGCGCATAAAACCATAATATCAAAGTGTAGGTTAGAAATCCTTTTGATAGTTTTTTTTTCTCTTTCTGATCGGTTTTTATAATTTTTGTAAGTGTATGCACAAAACATTGTATAAAATCATAGGTAAAACAATCCATTTAATTGTTTTTGTCGTTTTTTGTTTTGTTACTTTTTTTTATCTTTTTTGCAAGTCTAGACACAAAACCATGGTATCAAAGTGTGGATAAACAATCTATTTCTTAACTTTTATGATTACATCTTGTTTGTTCTAATTTTACTTGCAAACGCGGACACGCAACCATAAGTATCATAGCATCCTTTGGTAATTTTTTGCTCTCCTCCTTATGGTTCTTATCTAAACTTACATGTACCAGAGATTTTAACTAAACAACAATCAGAAATACAGAAGAAATCAACTAATAGTGATTGAATGTCCATCACTACATGTCCCTCAAGAATAAAAAAATAAATTGATCATAAATCGATATGTTTTAGGTGCCACTACCATTCCTCCTGTAAGGTGGTAAACAAAAGAGGCAGACATTTTTTGTCGAATCTACGAAGCGAGAACTACAGAAGTTAAGAGATGATGGATGGGGGCAGACATTTTTTTATTGGGGGCATAAATATTTAAACGTAAAAAAAATAAATATTCAAAAAATCCTACATAAAAATAAAAATAGTTTATAAATACTATTAAAACCACCTTACAAGCATACTCTACGTTGAGCCATGGTTTGACATCTTTTCATCACTGTTTCATTTGTAACCGATTCAAACAAATCTTTTTCAATAAAACAAACAAGACAATCACTTAAAAATTGATCTCCAATTCGATTGCGAGAGGTTGTCTTCACAAACTTCATTTCAGAAAAACATCTCTCAACTGTTGCTGTAGCCACTGGTAAAGTCAATGCCAACTTCAATAGTCTGTAAATAAGAGGATGTATAAGATCTTTTCGTGTTTCCACCATCAGACGCGAAAGATCTCCAAGACTTTTCAAATTACTAAATCGTTTATCTTCTTTTACATTATCAATGTAGATGTCAAATTGCTGCTCAAGAGAAAAACGCTCATCAGAAGTAAAATCATCTGGATAGAACTCAACTAACTTCATCAACTTATCTTTATCAAGCTGCTTGAACGAACTTGTGGGACTTAAAGAAGCCATGCAAATAAGGAGTTGAGTGTTTACTTCCGTAATACAATCATTGAACTCTTGAAGCTGCAAATCCAGAACAAAATTAAAACAACTGATCTTGTAATGATGTAAATTTGTTGTATTGGTTTTCTTTCTTGGCCTTCTGAAATCAACAAACTCATCTTCCATCATGATCATGTCAATGTCATGTTTCTTACAAAAAGAATGAACCGTAACCATCAGTGAGTCCCATCCATCATCTCTTAACTTCTGTAGTTCTCGCTTCGTAGATTCGACTAACGAAACAGCATTGAGAATGTCTTGATCTATTGTTTGCAAAGCCATGGATAAATTCTCAGTTAGCCCCAAGATATGCAACATTAAATGCATATAGAACACACAATCATATGTGTGCAAGTAAATAGCAAGACCATATGCTTGACGTTTCTTCGAATCTTCAATGCCTTCGGTTTGAATAAATTCAAGCACCTTAGTAACTATTGACGACCAAGCGCAACAATGTTTTATGATGAGAACCCAACGAGTCACTGCTAGCCTTGGAAGAAAACAATCTTGATTCTTCCCTTTCCCTGTGCTAATTTCACTATCATTGATTTTTTTTTCAATTTCTTCTCGGTATATTTCTTGAAACTTATCTTGTCGTTTGCACGAAGCTCCATTCAACACTGCAGATATCTTATCGAAAAAATCACCAACTTCAAAATGTTTCTTTGCAATTGCCACTACAACCAACTGAAGTTGATGAGCAAAGCAATGAACATAATAGCCGGAACTGTTTTCCCTTAGAATCAAAGACCGAAGACCATTAAATTCACCTTTCATGTTACTCGCTCCATCATAACCTTGGCCTCTTATATTTTGCAAGCTCAATCCATACTTAGCAAAGAAATCATCTATAGCATGCTTGAGTGATAGAATCATGGAACCGATAGGAGCTAAGGATGAGGAACAAGTCGAGGTTCAGCCCGGAACTCAAGACCAAGTGGCCAAGCTAAACGAAGACGAGGTTCAGGACGGGGTACAAGATCGAGGAGCCGACCAAAACGACGTCCTGGCCATGCCAACTGGACCGATGACCAAGTCGTGTACCAAGAAGCTCATGGGAGCAATCCAACAAGTTCTTACCGAGCTAAAGACCCAAGGCCGAGCTGACGATCTAACACCCGTTCACAAAGTCATGACCGTGCTCATGTATTCTGGTCCGAACTGACCTGGTTGGGGTGTTGTGTTAATACTCTTTTTCCTTACATTCGGTTATGTCCCACTGGGTTTTCCGAATGGGATTTTAACGAGGTTAATGCACGCCCATCTCACGACCATAGTTCGATTCGCGGCCAAAGTATAACGGTCAAGGAGCTCAAAGGTCTAGCGAGAGGACGCGAAGGGTCATCCAGAAATCCAATCGTTATTCAACGCATCTAGTCTCATTTAGTTTCATTTAATGTCCTTTAATTTCTGTAATGACCTATGGTCTTCCTTTTAGCCTCTATATAAAGGCATCGATGTATTCAGAACCATATGACTTATCTTTTTATAAAAATTTCTCTTTGAGTTTTCTCTTTTGTTCTCTAAGAACTTTGTCGATATTTTGGTGGTTAGCCATTGATCGATCTTCAGTTTATCAAGTAGTTTCATCCTGCTTGACGCAGCCTTCGATTCCAAAGTGAGAAAGAGAGTTGTAGTCATATTTGGGGCTTAGGGAATTTCGGGACTCGTCTCACACCCTAACATCCGGTATCGCAACCCCCTTGATCGTATCTTCTTTGGAATTGGGCCTAAGGATTTTCGAGCTCCTGCTCACGCCTTAGCATCTCTTTCACCGAACCGGACTGGATCCAAGGATCTATCAACCTCCACCGAGCCAAGTGTGTGACAATTCTAGGACGGTCTTCTATCATTGAGAGTCAAGGAAGATGTATCTCTTACATGAACAACACCGATAAATCTTTATTTGATTGTTCCTATCTAATCGACAAACTGAAAAACAACAGCCATTTGTTCCTTGTGTGAAACATCAACAGATTCATCCACCAATAGACCAAAAACACCATGATCAATTTCTTCTATAATAGATTTCACAACTTCTTCTGTAAAACAGTGTACAATATCCTTCTGAATTGGAAGAGAAATCATTAGGTTATTTTTTGGAGCATTCTCTAAAACAACCTTACTTACAACCTCGTTCTGTTCTTCTGTGTATTTCAAGAGTTGTTTGAAATTCCCTGTATTATCAGACTTTACTGACTCATCATGAGCACGGAAAGATAATCATTGTCGCAACAAATATCTAGAAGCATCAATTGAGGCATTTAACCGAATACGATACTCATTTTTGCCACATCATCTTGCTTATAAAAATCATGCTCAATAGAATGATTTTGCTTCATCAGAAAATCACACTTCTTAACAGCAATATTGTGAAAGCTATTCATAGAACACACGTGAATAGCTAATCTTTCAGATTTGTTCCAACTAGAAAAACCTTCCGTCACAAGCGCATCATTCTCACCTTGTTTTTGTATATCATCTCTAAACAAGTAACAGCACAAACAGAAGGCTTTATCTTTTGATACGCTGTACTCAAGCCAATTACTATACTGATCAAACCAAGCTGGATTAAATCTTCTTAATGATTTTCCTGGGGAAATTATGACCATAAAGCTTACAAGGTCCTCTATCAAATTACTTGCATCTTACCTTATTTCTTTGATTTGGATGATATTCCAAAATCTATTCCAAAATCTTTTTACGTTTAGCGGGATCCCATGGCAAATCATCCAAATTATTCTGAACCTTGGATATTGAACTGAATTTTCTTTTCAAAAAAATTTTCATCGACTGAGAAAAAGAAAAATTGTGTTACTAACTTGAATCAAGTGAAAAAAATAAATCAAAATAAATAATTAAACAATATAAAAAATTATGGACGGAACTTACTAACTGATTCATAGTTGCTAATTTTGTTTGCAAGGATGTTTAAAACTCAGATTGGACCAGCCAATTGAACTGATTAACTAAAAGCAGCTGACAATTCGGTACCTATTAAAACCGAATTTTCAAAAACTTCAAAAATCCAATAAAAACCAATTAAACTCTGTGAACCGATAATTAAACCGGTGGACCAGGTTAAACTAAAATAATGCTTTTTAAATTGAAACCAAAGCAATGTTTTTTTAGACGTAAAGGCTTTCAAATTTTGAACCCAAGAAAAAGACGAATATTATTACCTTTAAAATAAACTGTATATATACATATCCTTTTTTAGAATCTGATGTACTAGACATCGATGTGGGACATTGGGATCTTCTTTATTTTTTTAAAACAATCACGTTTCTTTTCTTCTCTTAGTTTGTGTTAGGCTTTTTATTGGGTTTGATGACTGGGGGCATTAATTTTGGGCTTAATTAACTTACACTAATTTTTTAAATTTCATTGGAGGCATATATCATTTGATGACTGGGGGCATTAATTTTGGGCTTAATTAACTTACACTAATTTTTTAAATTTTATTGGGGGTATGCCCCCAACAAAATGTATGTGGCTCCACCTATGGTGGTAGAGGGTATGTAAACAATTCATTTAATAGTTTTTGTCTCTTTTTTAGTGATATTTATCTTTTCCCCAAGCCCAGACGTAATACCATGTTATTTGAACATAGGTAAACAATTTTTTCTTTGGTTTTTATCTCTATCATAAGTGCAGATGCAAAACCACAATGTCAGACCATCGATAAACATTTCCACTGGCTGGTTTTTACCTACATGTACACTTACCTTCTTCTATTTGTCTTCTTCATCTTCTTTTTGCTATCATACTTTTAAATTGTTATTATAAATAAAAACAAAATTTTATTTCAACGCACGAATTGATCAATATGGTTTATACTCCAAGCACTATTACGAAACACCCCGCGAGTCGATAGAAATGTATATATTTTAAAGCCGATGTAATATAAACTTCTTCTAATTGATTTTCTTTTAATGGCCATGCTTCTTCGCTTTCTTTACTTCACCTCTTTTTGATTCTTTGGCTTGAACTACCTCTCCATTTCTTGTTTCATCCAAATTCTCTAGCTTCCTCTTGTTCTCAGCAGGTGAGCCTCCATTTGCAAACACTCGGAAAAGAACATTAGAATCGCATAGAGAGTAAAACAGATCGAAACCCAAACAAAAAAAACAAAAAACAAAAAAGAACACAAACTCGCTAACTTGAAGCACACGAAACATATACCTCAATACAGCAAAAAAGATGCATACTCTGGGTAACTATCTCTAGAAGCAGATCTACCTACACAAATAAATATATAATCATCTTCAATTTGGCTTACATATAACTGTTATTCGGCACTGTATTTTTATAATTTCATATAAGAGTTATTCGGCGCTGTATTTTAAGTTATAATTTGTTCTCTATGAGACAATTTCAATGTATATAAATAAATAAAACATGTGCATGATAACAATAAAAATACATTAAGATTTTGGTTTTCACCTTCAGCCCAAGAACTTCTTTTGTTAATTTAAAGAAGGCCAAGGAGGGAATACTATTTACGGTCGAACTTCTTATGTTAATTTAAAGAAAGCCAAGGAGGGAATGCTATTTACGGTCGACTGTGACTTTAGCTCGTACGTATTCTAAAGGACCAGTGTCTATCCTGACGGAGAACGGTGAAAGAATGTAACCACAGTGATTTCCCTTCTGCATTTCAAGTTTTTGGCCATTATATCAGCTAGCGCCTATATTGCATCATTGAACAGTAACGAAACTATACAATCTTCAAGTACTTTCAAGCCTAAACATTTATTTACCTCCATTATGTGTTTGGTCTCAAGTTAATCAATGGCTGAATAAAGTTGGATTATCCTTATCAACTCTTTTGATTTCGGCATTGCTTCTATTTAAAACATATGAGAAACTTCCTTAGAGGAGTGTGAACACTAAATTACTATGTATAGCACTATTCTTAATTTTTACAATATCTTTGACTAAGATACCACGAAAGTCCAGCTTGCGTAACTCCAAGAGGAACATCGTTCACCGTCTATCAAAGTATCAGCGATTATAAATGATTACAGAGTTTTCAAAGGAAACAAATCAATGATAAAACATATACCATTTTCATTGCTTTTTTCATCAACATCTTCAAAGCTGATAAATCCGGTGGATGAGCCTCCTAGGATTTTTGCCAAGAAAGGAGTTTCTGTATCCCTCAAGAAACATATTAACAGCAAACATTAAGACATCAACAAAAGTGTTCAAGACCAGGCTAAGGATGAACCAAAGCCCTACAAATTCCGCTTTTCCGAGGGACCAGACGTCGTAAACCCCCTGTCCTGGTAGGACTAATAAGTCCTCCACCGTATATCGAGCATACGGATGCGGAGGGCGGGGTTCGGGTGCCGGTGGTGAAGATGGTGGTGGAGGCGGTGGTGGAAACTGCTCAGCCGCCGTGTTCGGAACCTGAGAGGCTCCGGAGGAAGACGGGATCTCAGTATTACCCGAGGCAGACGTTTGGGAAAGAGAATGTCCGTTCGCCATAGCGTTGATGTAGTGGGTCTTTCGAAGAGAAATCGTCTGCAAAAGGCAAAATAGTAATTAAAATTATTTTCCGGACCTATTATCTAATTCCGAACCTAATTTTAACAAATTCCGAACCTAATTCTAACAAATTCCGAACCTAAACTAATTCCAAACCTAAACTAATTCCAATCCTAAATTAATAAGAAATAATATTAATTATATATTTTAAAAATTAAAAAAAAATACCTTAAAAAGGAGAGAAGACATGGAGGAGAAGAATTGGAGAAGAGGAGAGAAGGCAGGCGGAGAGAGAGAAGACAAGAGGAATGAGCGACGAAGTGGAGAAGGGTGCATCCATATATATAGATTTTATATTCATCGTAAATTCGTCGTAAATTTACAACAAATTTACGACGAAACCATTCTATTTCCGACGCACAGTATCCACCGAGCCACAAATCGAATAGGAGAAACACATGTGGCTGTCTTTGGGTTATACGATGGATTTACGATGATCGTGGCAAATCGTCGTAAATTCGTCATAATATTACGACAAATTTACGATGAAATATTATAAATCATAATTTACATAACAGCTGAGTTTCCACAACTTGTCGTAAATTTGACGTAACATTACGACGAATTTACTGACATATTTTTCAAAATTTGATTAAATGAAAAATTTATACATGCCTAAGTACCTACATGCATTACTAAACATTGTATATGTGTTCAGTAAAACTTCTTGTATGTATATACAGCTTAATGATGAATTTACTAATGTTTAAGATGAATCCTTACATGTTTCCCTAAATGTATATAAGTACTTAAGAACACTTGATAAACATATATATGTGAAAATTTTAAATTTTTTTTTTGTATATAAAGGATATGTATCTTATGAGATGGTAAACCATATAATTCTCATAATTGAAATCCATCATATAGCCAAGAAAATGATGATTACAAGATTTAGGGGTTAGATTTCGTCGTAACTTTGACGGTACATTACGACGAATTTACGACAATTCTCTACAACTCCTTATAGAATACATGAGTTTCCTCAGGAAACTGCACAAAAAAACCATTAAGGTGAGAAAGCCAAACCCTATAGGTGTAGGGTTAAAGCATAACGACGAATTTACGATGATTTCATCAAAATCGTCGTAAATCCGTCGCAAAAGTCAATACCTGTCCAAAGTCAACTTTTGTTAATTTTCTTTAAATAATTGTCTTTCACTTTTACACATTTTGATGTATAAAAAGTTACTTTTATAAGATTTAACAAACTTTCTTTGACCAAAACATTTAAAATTACGTTTAATGCATGAGACGACAAACTAATTATTTATGTTTAGCATTCAGGTACGTCTTCCGGAGATATGTCATTGTGTTCATCATCATCTTCATCGCCGTCCTCAATCTCATCATCTTCATCACTGCTTGTTTCAAATTCACCAGCAGCTTCTTCAGTTTCGTCCCCATGGAGATCTTCAACTTGTCGATTACGTGGATCAATTAAAAGAACATGTTCTTCAACCTCAGGTTCAGTAATGTCTACACAATCATCTTGTTGCATAGGCGGGAGATCTACACCATCAATTATACCCCTTCGAGCAACTTTAATAACCGTCAACTATGAAATTCCAGTACTTCGAACTCGAGGATATGGAACAAACGTGACTTGTTCTGCTTGTGATGCAAGTATAAAAAGCTCGAACTTATTGTATCTTCGTGAGGCGTTTACATCTACCACTCCGAATTTGTTAATACACACTCCACAACCCATCGTTGGATCAAACCAATCACATTTGAATAGAACAGTTTTCATCTTTACTAATCCGGAGTATTCCACTTCAATTATCTCTTTTATGATCCCATAAAAGTCCACTTCACCTCGTACGCAAACTCCATAGTTGGTAGTTGTCCATTGAGTGCCATGACTGTAAGTATGAAAAACGTAGCCACGGGTGAAATACATAGCTGCAGTAGTTATCTTAGATATAGGACCATGGAGCAACTCATGAAACCATACTGCATATGTCATGTCATCATGATCGACCTGAGCTTTTAACCACAATGGATAATGTTGGTCTTTCAGATTGTTAATTTCATCTTTTAAAACACCGTCAATGCATTCTCGGACTTGACTGACAAAAGTGCTGCAAAAAAAATTGTTAATGTATATATTTTGTTTTGCAGCATCAATTCATGGTAATCAATAATCATGCATATATATAATCCTGTAGTACCTCTCGTAAGGAGCCAATTTGTCGCAGTTCAGAAGTATGTATGTATGTGCGCTGTGGTAGTCCTTTTCGTTTGACCAACAAGTTTCTTTTAGATTCCCACTTAGACGTTTAATTGGTGAGAATATATCTGGTACACCTTCTACTGCGTAAGTTTGTCCTACACCCCCATCGTCATAACGTCTTGGAGCCCGTTTGCGTGTACGAACTTTTAAAGCAAAATAGTAAGACATGAAATGAGAAGTTTCTTCTATCAAACTTCCCGCCACGATAGACCCTTCAATTTTTGCTAAGTTTTTAGCCTTACCCATTAAATGCTTCATAAAGCGTCCAAACGGATACATCCACCTAAACTGAACAGGTGCTCCTAACTCTGCATCGTGAGGGAGGTGTATAGGTAAATGTTCCATAACATCAAAGAAAGCAGGTGGAAATATTTTCTCTAAATTGCACAACAATATTGGAATATTTGTCGAAAGTTGTGCAACTACATCTGCTGATACTGTCCTTGTACTTAAATCACGAAAGAAAGCTCCAATGCCTCCTAGTGCCTCATGGACAAGTCCCGGTAGGAGTTCAGCAAACACAAAAGGAAGTAATCGTTGCATAAACACATGACAATCATGACTCTTCATCCCTGAAAACTTTTGTCCTTACTCCACAGATTTTGCCAGATAAGATACATACCCATCAGGATATTTCACGGCTGATGATACCCAATTAAACAATGTCGTTTTCTGTTCTGCACCCAACCAAAATACCGGAACTGGTGCTTTCCCATTACTCATAATATGCAACTCAATTCTATTACATATATCAGGCAAGTCCATCCGTGATTTAACGCTGTCTTTGCTTCTTCCTTGGACGTTCAAAACGGTATGCATGATGTTATCGAAAAAATTCTTCTCAATGTGCATAACATCAAGATTATGTCTCAGTAAATGATCTTTCCAGTATGGCATATCCCAAAATATAATTTTTTGTGCCAATTATGATGAACCCCATATCCTTCAGGCATATTCGCTGGAGTGTGCCAATTTCCTCCTTAGAGGACCGTTTCAAGTCCACCCCAATTATCTATTTGCGCTTCAAGATCTACCCCTGTTAGGTACACTGGTGGGGGGAGACGAATCAATTTGTTCTTAATAAACAAACGCCTGTTTCTTCTATATTGATGGTTTGGTGGTAAAAACTGACGGTGGCAATCAAACCAACAGGTTTTCCGACCATGTTTAAGCTGAAATGCATCAGTCCTATCAAGACAATAAGGACATGATAACCTCCCATATGTTGTCCAACCTGATAGCATTTCGTATGCCGGGAAATCGCTTATTGTCCACATAAGCACCGCTCGCATCGTAAAGTTTTTACCACTCAAACAGTCATATATTCGTACTCCGACATGCCACAACTGGTTTAACTCATGTATGAGTGGCTGCAAAAACACATCAAGGGCCGCTTCGGGTGATTTGGACCAGGGACTAAGATACTTAGAAACAAAAACTTCCTTTGCATGCACATATCTGGAGGAAGGTTATATGGCGTAAGGATCACAGGCCATAATGAATATTGCCTACCAGACATACCAAATGGACTAAACCCGTCAGTGCAAAGACCAAGATAAACATTTCTCTTAGATCTAGCAAAGTCTGGATGTACGGTGTTAAAATGTTTCCAAGATTTCCCGTCAGAAGGGTGAGTCATTTTGCCATCTGTTTGTGAATGTTCTGCATGCCATCTCATCAACGCAGATGTCCGTTCAGATTGATATACTCTTTTTAACCTATCAGTTATAGGAAGATACCACATTCGTTGGTACGGAATCTTCTTACGCCCAGCAATTTGCGGTCTATATCCTGGCTTTTGGCAGAAACAACATTCTTGAAGCTTCTCATTATCTCTCCAAAAAAGCATACAGTTATCAACACAAACATCAATCATCTTAGAAGGCAATCCAAGACTAAAAACCAGCTTCTGAATTTCATACTACGTTTCAGCAGCCAAATCATCATCTGGCAAATACTCTTTAATAAGATCTGCCCAATCATTCATGCAAACTTCAGATAGATTGTGATCAGTTTTTATTGTCATCATCTGAGCTGCTAATGATAATTTAGATAAACCTTCTCTACATCCCTCGTAAAGAGGCTGTTTTGCTGCGTTTAACATATCATAAAAGCGTTTCGCATCTGCATTGGGCTCCTCAACAATATCAGCATGTGTTTCATGAAATGCATCAGTAACCATATCATGCATCTTATCCTGATCTTCACCCTGAACTTGACTACTTTGATAATCATTTGACACTTCAAAATCTCCATGTTCTTGATGATTACTACTACTCCGTGCAGTCATCTGACCACTACTTTGAGCATATCCCTCTCCATGCTGATACCAAATAAAGTATTGCGGCATGAATCATCTATTCAATAAATGCTGCCAGACAGTGTCAATAGGAATATGTTTTCTATTTTTGCATTTTACACAAGGACAATACATTTTGCCGCTTTTAATTACAGTTTGCATAAGGCCGGCCTGGTACATGAATATTTCCAATCCGTTTTTGAAGTCTTCAGTCAACGACCCCTCAACATCTTTGGGCGTATACATCCACTTTCGTAGATCGTATATAGACATTTCAAAAACAAATAATTGATTTTTTGATTTTGAACTTTGATATAAATTTCAACTACTAAAAATTTTACTCAAACATTCAAAGACTCAAAAAATTGTGTCTTTGTATGTTTTTTTGGGTTGATGGAATAATGATAGAAGAGAGGGTATATAAAGATTTTTTGTTTGGTTACCAACATATTGCCATTGAATATTTACATCACATTTTACGTCGAAATAAAGGTTACATCATATTTACATTGATATTATGTCGAATACAAGATGGAGGCCAATTCGTCGTATAATCGATGCAAAGTTTACGACAAAGTTACGACGATATAAAATTCGTTGTTTAATCATCGTAATTTTACGACGATTTTCCAACATCAGTATTTTACGTCAAAATTACGACGAAATAGTTCGACGTCGTAGTTCGACGTAATTGAGTCATAAATTTACGACGATTTAGAATCAACATAACAAATTCGTTGGAAATAGGCCTCTTTCTTGTATTGATAATTTTCAATATCAGGTTCTGTAGCTGGAACAATCACATGCTCTTAATTTACTAACTTTTTATAATATAAAATAACCATTTGATGTAGTTCACTATCTTGAAACATAAAGCAAACAAATAGATTTCAAAACATAGCTATGTATAGCCACCAAAAAATAAAAAGTCAAAGAAATTAAAAACCACCGAAAAAAAAAGAAATCAGAATATTGGAATCACCTTTTGAAAACCACTTCCCTTACCCAACATGTATTTTTAGTAAAATATTAGATTTAATATGGACGGTAACATAAAACACAACACATGTATTCTGTGTTGCTAAATTGGATCATCTCATTTGTTGAGATGTTAAGAATGCTTTGTAATGAACTTTTGGTTAATAAGAGTTGTTGTTGAGCCAAAAAAAAAGAAAAAGAAAACACAAACATGAAAAACCATGAAGAACCATGAATTCACTTTTTTAACAAAATGATAAGAATCCAAAACAGAGATAAGACTCGAAGTCGGCAAGATTGATGAAGACATAGAATTCTCATAAAATAAACCCCATTGTAACCATATCAGAAACACTCTGCAACAAAATATAACCCAGCAAACGACAAACTCCACTTCTCTTCAAAAGCCAATAGAAAGAATCCAGAAAAGCATATCCCCAAAACTCTGTATCAAGATTACCATCAATGAAGAACATCGCAAGAGGAAAATCGATGCTTCCAAAAATCAGGAAAAACGAAACAACAAACGACAACTATCCAAGAACAAGTAAAGCTTAGAATCCGAATATGAACAATAAAATAAATGATCAATCTCAGAAACCTACTATACTCATAATATACATATAGGTTTCACGTTCAAGGCTAGAGTTTATTTCTAGGGAATACCCTATATGCGGCCAGGGTTTTGAGATTATATGTTTCTTTAGTTAATATATTTCGATAGTTAACTAAAACCTCGGAAAATCTAATACAAAAGTATCACACGGCCAGCCCAACAGATATTGCAATAAATGTAATTGACAAAATACATGTAAAAATCTCTGCAAATTACGATTTAATGTAATTGTAAAACCGAAACAAAATTATTGTGATTTGAAACTAAACTTAAATTAAACCAATTAAAAGAATATTAATAACTTTTTGGTGAGGGACAATATAATAATTAACCACCCTAAAACTCAATGAGAAAGCTTAAAACAAAAAATTTACTTCACTTATAATATATATGATCTTTCTATAGTACACAAGCAAAACTTCATGGGTTTTTATAAGTAATGTCATGTAATGGACACATCTATCTTCTACATTCATTGTCTAATTACAAGATTGTGCCTATTAAGTGAAAATAAAGAACTAGTCTACCGCTTTTGATTTGATGTGAAATTGAGAAAGTCATATTTACAAGTATTTATTATGTGTGTGGGGGGGGGGGGGTTCAAAGTAAATATATATTTTTTTTAAGTTTTCAACTTACATTTTCACCGATATCTCATCTAAGTAAATATATATCTCGAACCTCATCTAAGTTTTCTCTTAAGAACATAATTTTTTTGACTGTTATTATTTTCATGTACAATTTTGTTTATTAATCACGATATCCTAAGCTTTTCTATTGTAAAATTTTGGTGAACAAATTACTACTATTTTTAATTTTTTCACTTATACTTTTGTATTATATTTATTTTTGTTTATGGCCTCAAAATTTCTAGACCCGGCTCTGTTTGCATATCATGTGGCATGTCATTCTTTTGTACCCACTTTTCAAATCATAACTCATTTTAGTACACACTTGCGAATAGTATAAATCTCTTGATACTACTCAAGCGAAATTTGATGGGCTTTTATAGGGAATATCATGTCTAAACTTGATGGACACATCTATTTGTCTTCTACATTCATTGTGTAATTACAAGGTCATGCCTATTAAGTAAAAATGAAACACTGGCTTACGGCTTTTGATTTGATATGAAATTGAGAAAGTCAGTTTTATAACTATTTATTATGTGTGGCCTCAAGGAAAAAATATTTACCGAAGTCTTAACACACAAAAAAAAAATCAAACAAAATTACTAATATACGAACAAAACCAAAAACATGACAAAGAAAGGGGACCCTTTTGTTGTTTGAAAAAGAAAGGAACAAAATTGCAAATTCTCTATTTTCTTTCCATTTTCTTTCGCACGTTGAGAAAAAAAGCAGAAAAGCAGTGTTTGAGCCTCTGCTGCATATTAATGGCGAATGCGACTCAGAAACGACAAAAGAGACAAACCTGCTTTTGGGACGGGAACGTCCTCCGTACCATCTCGCATATCCCAACATTCTTTCTCTCCATCCATTTCCTGTTATATCACAACAACCTCTCTCTCCGTATTGTCTTCTCTAGCTTTACACACACACTCTCTCTCTCTATCTCTCTCCATATTTTACTTTCTCCTGTTTTTGATCTGATGTTTGAAGACAGATTCATGGGTATTGGAGGTTTTTCTGGCGATTTTAACCTAGGACGAGCTTCGGATCGTCGTCTTCCTAATGGGTTTCTTCAGAATCTCGAAACAAACCCGTTTCTGACGAGCCAGTGCTTTAATCAGAGTAGTAATGGTCTTGATTTGTGCAAAAAGCTTAGCAAAATGGGTATCTCTTGTGACATGAGTATTTGGAGCAGCAGACCCGAACCGTTCCGGGTCGACCCGAGAGATTTTGGGTCTAGAGGAAGCCTCCATGGGTTTCCTGGGTTTGATCAAAATCTGAGTGCAGCTTCTCGGATTCGCAACGTTTCCTCTGGTTTTCTTCAAAACACCTTCCACGGAGTTTCTCCGGGAGAGCTTCGGTTGCTTGGGTTTCAAGATTCCGTTAACCCCAACGGGTTTGAAGAGATGATGACTTTTAAAAACCACAGAGTTTCTCTCTTTGACCATATGAATCGACCCACAAAGCGTTCTTCTATCTCTCTCAGAGGCGTCACTCTTCAGAACGATGCGTTAAAGGGTGGTTCATTGATGTTTGAAGGAAATAGAGTTTCTCGAGGTCTATCCGCCATGGAAGCTTCTAGAGAACTTGGAGCTTCTCATCCACAGGATAGTCTCAGAGGCGTCTCTCTTGGGAACGATGCGTTGATTTTTCAAGGAAACAGGGTTTCTCGAAGTCTAGCCGCCATGGAAGCTTCTGGAGAGCTTGGAGCTTTTTATCCAGAGGATAGACTCAGAGGCGTCTCTCTTCGGAACGATGCGTTAGTATTTGAAGGAAATAGGGTTTCTCCAGCCCTAGCCGCCATGGAAGTCTCCGAAGCTTCTAGTCTGATCGGTCAAGGCTCCTATGGGAAAATGAATCCAAAGAACCGTACTGGTTTGCCTCTGGATCTCGTGTCCATGGTTAACATCTACGGATCTGTGAACTTAATGGCAAAAGACCAGATTGGTTGCAGAGTTTTGCAAATATTGGTTGATGAAGGAACATTTCCTGATTTTAAAGTTCTGTTCTTTGAAATTATTAACCATGTCGTTGAACTTTCCATGGATCCTTTTGGGAATTACATCGTCCAGAAGCTATTAGATGTGTGTGATGAGGAACAGAGGATGTTAATTGTGAGTGTTTTGACCTCAAAATCAACGGAGCTCATCAAAATCTGTCTCAACAATTATGGGTAAGCTTTTTAATTTTCTTTCTATCAATTTTTTTTTCATTATCTGCTGCTAATTTGGTAACAGAAACGGAGCTTGTGTCAACTTCTCTACTTCATTAATTAGTCAACAAATTTTAATATTACTAATTCCTACAAAGTCCACGAGTTTTCGATAGAGATGAAGACATTTCATCTTTTGTTGATTAGAATGCAATATTTCTTGGTTTTTGAGAAAGATGAAATCTTTGCTATATTTGGAATTTTTGAAATCTCTGCATTTTTTGACATAAGGTTTAGACATCGCTATCAATAATACAAGGTAATATTTGGTAGAAAAAAGATGAATTTAATGTTTTACTTTTTGCTGGTTTGGGACAAACAGTAGCCAAAAAAAGCTGAGACCTCTGGGCAAAAGCATTGAAATCTGCTCTCTCTGATTTCTGATTTCTGCGTTCTGAAATGAAACAGGACACGAGTTGTCCAGAAGATGATCGAAACAGTGAAGACAAAACAGCAGATTGAGATGGTGAAGTCTAGTCTCAAACCAGGCTTTCTTGCTCTTGTGAAAGATTTGAATGGGAACCATGTGATACAGACTTGCTTGAATTCTCTTGGTCCTAACGACAATAAGGTTTGATTAATGTCACATAATATCCCTCTTCTGTTTCTTACTTAAAAGCTCTGATGACTTAACACATGAAGTTTGGTGTCAGTTTGTGTTGGAAGCTGCTACGAGGTACTGTGCTGAGATTGCAACTCACCGTCATGGATGCTGTGTGCTTCAGTGCTGCATTTCAAACTCTGTTGGAGCGCAACGTGAGATACTCGTTGATGAGATATCCAGAAACTCACTTCACCTTTCTCAGGATCCTTACGGGTAAATTTAGTCTCAACTCTAGACTTAATAATGATTTGGAATATTATGAAATAGTCCTTATGGTTTATTGAATTGTGCAGGAACTACGTGGTGCAGTACCTAATAGAGCAAAATGTTCCATCAATGAAGTTACTGATGCAGTTTAGAATGCATTACGTGGAGTTAGCGACACAGAAATTCAGTAGCCATGTGGTGGAGAAATGTCTAAAGCATTATCCAGAGAGTCGAGCTGAGATTGTCCGGGAGCTTCTCTCTGTTCCAAACTTTGAATATATCTTGCAGGATCCTTTTGGAAACTACGTTATCCAAACTGCTCTTTCTAAGACCAAGGCAAGTCCAAAATCAAACAGAACTTATACAACAAAAAGCTTATCAAAACACAACCTGACATGGGTTTTTGGTTTGAAACAGGGTCGTGTTCATACGCGGTTGGTGGAGCAAGTTCATAGGTATGGGATTCTCAAGTCGAGTCCTTATTGCAAGAAAATATTCTCCAACCGTATCTTGAATAAGTGACCAAAACACATGTTGTTGTATTGTAAGATCGGATAGGCTTTAACAAACACCGCCTCTTTTGATTCTCCAAGATCCTCTTGAAGAAGTGACACAAAAAATGATGTTTTGTGTTTTAAAATCGGATAGGCTTTAACAAAGACACTACTCTGTTGTGTTGTCGATTTCTTGTTTTTTGTAGTGACAACAACTTTTGAAGCCATTCCATTATATATATAACTTAAGAAACCACACTGGTTCTCTCTCTGTCTCTCTTTTGCATTATTTGGCAACACACAACAGAAACAACAAACAAAGTTTTTGAAGAACAAAATCAAACGGTTTCAAGAGAGAGAGAGAGAGATATAAGATAAAACAGAAGCTTTTGTTTAAGCATCATCTTCACCGAGAAGTGCAACGAGCATCTTCTCGTAATCTCCACGAGTGTCTTTGGTGATGGCTTTCTCCAAAGGAATGCTGTTTCTGCGCTGATACTCTTCTCCTATGACCTTCAAGTCAATCTCAGCTCTTGTGGTCACAATTCTAGTGAGAGCTCCTTCGTCTGTTCCGGTTTTGTTGATTGCTGAACGAAGAACATCTACAAAGTAAAGCTCTGGTCTTGTCAAGCATTGAATCGTTGACCTCAACAGTCCAAGGAACTTGTCATCCTCATCTCCTTCCTCAAGGCTCTGCAAGATGAAAAAGAAAGGAATAGTTTAGCATTATTATAAACCAAGAAGCTTAGATTCTTAACTTGAAGGAACAGTTTTAGCCTTCACCTTGAGGATTTCCTCGCCATGGTCATCTTGGTATCGGTTGAAAGTAGCATTGATTTGTGCTTTGCTTCTTGTAGACAAAATCCTAATGATTTCCTCATCATTGTAATGCTTGTCCTTGATGTTCACCTCGTCCCCTTCGTACCTGTATGAGGTAACAAGAGGAACCAAAAGCTGCAAAAAGAAACACACAAACTCAATGAGTGTTTCAAATACTAGCATTGTCATAAAATCTTAAAAAAGTTCAAAGTGTTATTCACTTTTCTGAAGTCACCGGTGGTGTGGTGAGCGACATCCTCTTCAAGCGCCTTCTTGTAACGAGCATGGTAAGCTTGCCTAGCGTGAAGCAGCTGCGTTGAGCTCCTTGTGCAGGCTACTTCCATCAGCACTTGGTTGCTTGAAGTCTATCTTTTGGTGGCTTCATTAGCCAATAAGGCATCACGCTCACCGGGTTCAAGAGTCCAGAGCAAGATGGCTCTCTGTCCATGAAGGAAAAAACCATTCTAGGATTACTTAAGAACACACAAGATTTGTCAAAACACAATGTCGAAATTTTGAAAAATCGGACCTCAAAGTCGTTAGAGAATTCTTTGTCAAGAGTCTTGAGAAGGTCTTCTCCAAAGGTTTCATGGTATGTTTGCCTGATAACCTTCCTCTGTTCAGCGCTTCTGTGAGCCAAAATTGATATGATCAAGTCCTCGTTAGTTCCCCATCCTGCAAATTTTTTTTTACTTTTTGAATGGAATGTTGAATTTTATTCAACCAAAAAACTTTTTCTACAATGAATGCTTCTTTGAGCTTAATGTAGCTATTAAACTTTACATTCAGTTAAAAACTAGATTTGCTGATGCTTCACAAAAGCCAAATGGCATATTCAAGAAAGTCACACACTTCAAGATTCAATATCAATCAAAAGCGATTCATTTCAAAGTGTATAACATTAAGATCTGAATATTGGACTACAAAACAGACCATCCACATCTAACTACATTTTAGATCTGTGACGATGATTTATCACGGATCTATGAAAGTAAGAGTCAAACAATCAATCATGATCTTGTTCAGTATCAACATGATAAGATAGTCAAAGGTTCAATACTGATCAGAGAAATGAGAAAGAAGAAACAAAAAACAAGCACAAACAAATCCTTTAGATCCAACGCAGAAATGATCAGATCAGTGAAGGAGTAAGCTCCATCTACATCAACACCATCAAGAACATGATCATAATAAACTACCGACATGGATCCGGTCGTGAGTAAAAAAAAACAAAACAAACTCTATCCACATCACAAACACCAAGCAGATGATCAAATCACAAAAAAAACATATAGATCATTTTTTCAACTGAGGAAACACACTGATCGGGTTCACAAAAGGATATGTAGATCAAGAAAACAGAGAAGAAGAAGCATAAGTACCATCAAAGGCGGTTTTCAATTGCTCAGCATCTTCAGATGGAGAAGGAACAGAAGAAGAAACCTTAAGAGTAGCCATTTTTTTCTTTGCAAGTTCTTATTTCTTTCACTCTGTCTCTCTGTGGTCAAGTGTATGTTGAGAGTCGAAGCAGATAGATGATTGATTTATAAAGGGAAAAAGGCTAAGGCTTTAGGACACGACGAGACCTGTTAGAGCATGTTTATCGGCGTGTTTGGGCTGCGTCTCTTATCAATTTTAGCCCAAAAAAAAAAGAAAAAAGGTAAAACACACGAGAGACGTTTCCTATTTGGCATGCGAGAGAGACGTCTCTAAAACGCCACGTGTCGTATCACGCGACCAAAATTTTTTTTTTTCCCTTTCTCTTCTCCCTTTCTCTTCTCCCTTTCCTCCCCGACGAAACTACTCGACTCACCACCTTCTGAAATCGCCTCACCGTCGATCTGCACCGAATCTCGGTGTTTCCGGTCACAAAGAATCTCGCAGTTGCCGTTTCCGTTTCCGGTAAGCGATTTCATCGAAGTTGTAAACTTTTTCTTTCTCACTTAAATGAATTCGGTGGTTTGTGGGTTGAGTGGATTGACCTCAAAATCGAATTCATTTGAGTTCTGATATATCTCCTTGATGTATTTCTTCCGGATTTGTTTGCTGTTGCTCTTGCATGTCTCTGTTAAAATCGTTTTTATCTTCTTTGATCGATTAGGGATTTTTTTACAAATGGTGGATTTTCTCTTGTTTGAGCGACTTGGGTTTATTTCCTTTGCTTCAATTTAGGACTTTGGTTAATCCAGTGATATATTTGGAAGATTTAGGGTTTATGTTCATAGCAGAATGATGATTTGCGGATGCACAATGTTTATTTGTATTGATTGAACTATTGTTTAATCCTCTTCTTCATGTTAATCTGTAATAAACTTATGTTTAATCCTGATGGTTTATGTTTGGATGATGATTTGTTTTGTTTAATCTGTCTAGTTCGAGTTTTTGGTTGTAGGGAAAAGCCACGGAACCGAACAGCATTTGGTGTAAAGAGTTTCCTCCATAGCTTGAAGCTTTTGAGGTAAGTTTTGAAAGTGGTTAGGTTTCATAAATGCTGTTAGTGGTAGATAACTGAGATTGAAATGTAATAAATGGAAAGGTAAATGGTAGATTGGCTGTGATGAATGGTTAGTTTAGTTGTGGAATATAGTTTAGTTATAATCAATGGCTTAGTTGTGATGAATGCATCTTCTTTCAGATAAATGTCTTGTCGATGTGGTTAGGTTTAGTTAAATGCATCGACTTAAAACTTGATCCTCTTTGCTTCTTCTCTTCTTCTATTTAAACACTCGCTTTCATCTCTTTTTTTAATCACCTACAGACATTATTTGTTCTCTTTCTATCTTTTGGTCATCTTTGCTTCTTCTCTTATTCTCATTCCTCTCTTGACCTTTATGGATTTGCATTCTGCGAATCCATATTCCCTAAGCTCTAACTTTGTTGGACTTCTTAACAGTCAACAAGAGAGTGTTCACTATGAACCATATCCCTTTGTTGACCCAGTCCCTCTCTTTAGTACTCAAGCAACAGCGGCTTCAACATATGGTGCGAGAGAAGATACAGAAGACTTGCCTGCAGAGAGAAGAGAAAGAAAGAAGTGGACTCCCACGGATGATGTGTTACTCATCAGCTCGTGGTTAAACACGAGCAAGGACCCTGTCGTAGGTAATGAGCAGAAGTCTGGGACCTTCTGGATGCGAGTTGCAGGTTACATGGCGGATTGTCCCAATGCAGAATGCAGAGAAGTCAGAGAGGCTGGGCAATGCAAGCAACGGTGGCACAAGATTAACGATTTGGTCTGCAAATTTTGTGGCTCCTACGAGGCGGCATCAAGACAGAAGGCTAGTGGACAGAATGAGAATGATGTGCTGAAGCTAGCCCATGAACTCTTCTACAATGACCACAAGAAAAGGTTCACACTTGAGCATGCTTGGAAGGAGCTCAGAAACGACCAGAAATGGTGTGACCTCTTCACTTCAAAAACAGCACAAAACCCAAAAAGGAGAAAGTGTGAAACTGGTACTCAACCCGAAGAGGAGACAGGTCCTGAAGTGGATGAAGCAACCATCAGGCCTCTTGGAGTGAAGGCGGCTAAAGGCAAAGGTAAGAGACCTGCGTTGGACAGCAAGCAAGTTGCAGACTTGCATACCGTGTGGTCCATAAAGAAGGAGGATTTGGCTATAAAGGAGAGATTGACGAAGATGGGTCTACTCGAGAGTCTACTCGCGAAGAAAGAACCATTGACTGAGCCTGAAGAAGGTTTTAAGAACAAGCTCATGGCTGACCTGATGTCTTGAAGAAGCTTGAAGTGGTTTTCTGTGTTTTTTCTGTCTTTGATGTTGTTTTGCTTATTTTCGGTCAGGTGGGTTTTTCCTGTGTAATCAGGTTGGTTAGGTTTGTTCTGTGTAATCTACTTTCATGCTGTCTTATGTTTGCTTGATGTAAGATATTTTGTTTAATGATATCTTGTTCTATGTAAGATAGTTTCTTTTGTTCTATGTTTGGAAAATGTTAATCATTTAGTTTAAAACTATCGGTGATTGTGTTATTTTGCAGGCTGATCTTCTATAATGGAAGCAAGGAAAGTGATAGTATGCGGACTCCCTGCAAAAGGAGTGAGACCTGTGGTTCCCCAAGATCCACGAGAAGATGCATGTGATGATGTGAAGGAGATCACAAGAGCAGAGTACCGGAGATCACAAGGGTTCAGTCTTGTGCGCCTTGAGGAAGACGAAGACATCGAACCAGGGTACCGTGAAGCCATCAAAAGGATGATAAAGGAGGAGAAAAAGCTTGCACGTGGAGATTCTTCCCGTGGAATGGGGGGGGGTCCGAATAGAAGAAGCAGATTTAAATTGAGTTTTAAGTGGGGTTGGGTTTTTGTTTGGGTTTGGGTCCAAACCATTTCTTTAAAATTTGTAAGGCACAAAGAAACATGAACTTTGTTTGTATGGGATTTAGTCGGCACAAATAAACAAAACACTATGTTTTCAAAAGCTGAAATGATTCAAAATTGATAAAAGATGAACCTCGTGACACAAAGAAACAAAAGGAAAAGACAATAAAAATAATGCCTATAAATTTCACCCAATGTATATGCCTATAAATTTCCATACACCATAAGCAATAGACTTGCACAAACACATTACTTCTTCTTCTATTTCATTCATCTTCTCTTTCTATATTTCTTAAACACGTCTTCACATATTATTCTCATCTTTTCTGTTTAATGGCATCTTCCTCATCCAACTATAATTTTGAGGAATATGAAAATTTCGATCAAACTATTGATCATCTCTTTGAAGATATTTATGAAAATCTTGTCATCGATTATGAAGAGCAACAAGAAACAAGGAGGGAAAGGAAGAAAAGAGTTTTTATTGAAAGAGAGCGAGAAGCCGGCCACAACAACTTGTGGAATGATTATTTCGCTCAAGATGCAACATATCCGGCAAATATTTTCCGGCGACGTTTTAGAATGAACAGACCACTGTTCTTGCGTATTGTTGATCGGCTTTCCAATGAAATTCTTTATTTTCAACAAAGGGTTGATGCTACCGGAAGGTCCGGTTTATCTGCACTTCAAAAGTGCACTGCAGCAATTCGTCTCTTGGCATATGGCACTGCTCTTGATACGGTTGATGAATATCTACGTCTCGGTGCAACTACTGCTCGAAAATGTTTAGAACATTTTGTGGAAGGAATAATTACTCTCTTTGGTGATGAGTATCTAAGACGACCAACCGCGGATGATCTTCAAAGACTACTTGCTAGTGGAGAGTCGAGAGGATTTCCCGGGATGATAGGCAGCATAGATTGTATGCATTGGGAGTGGAAGAATTATCCCACAGCATGGAAAAGACAATATTCCCGTGGTACTGCGAAACCCACTATCGTTTTAGAGGCCGTAGCCTCATATGATTTATGGATATGGCATGCATTTTTTGGACCTCCAGGTACGTTAAACGATCTAAATGTGCTTGATCGGTCACCTGTATTTGATGATATCATAAACGGTCATGCCCCACAAGTAACCTTTTCAGTCAACGAAAGGGAGTACCATTTGGCTTACTATCTCACAGATGGTATCTATCCAAAATGGGCTACATTTGTCCAATCTATTAAACTTCCCCAGGGTCCAAAGGCATCATGTTTTGCTACCACACAAGAAGGTGTCCGAAAAGATGTTGAGCGTGCTTTTGGAGTCTTACAAGCTCGATTTGCTATTATTAGAAATCCGGCTCTTAGTTGGGACAAAGAGAAAATTGGGAAGATTATGAAAGCATGCATCATTCTACACAACATGATAGTAGAGGATGAACGAGATGGGTACAGTCTTCAAAATGTTTCGGAATTCCAACAAGGAGAAAGAAGCGGAAATGCACAAGTGGATCTATCATATTCTACCGACAGGGTTTCAAATATCGCTGATATGTTTGTTAGACGGACTAGTGTTCGGGACCAACGAATGCATGCACAATTGAAAAAGGATTTGGTTGAGCATATCTGGCAAAAATTTAGAAGTTTTTATAGCTAAACTTGTGTTATTTTGAATATTGAGAATTATCTGTTAAATTTCTGTTGTTTTCATATAATAAAAATATTGTATCTTTGTTATTTTTAATTACAAAACTTTTAATTTAATAAAAAAAATTTTCTTAAAAAACTCATTATGGTTTCTCTAATGTACCTCACATAAATCAACATTTCTTAAGAGATCTCTTAACTAAACAATATTATTAAACTAATCCTTAAGAAACACACATTTGTCTCTCCAATAAACATGGTCTTAGTGTCCGTATATACTAAAATATGCCCGAAGGGAATTATACGTTTTTTTAGGTTCTGCCACGTGTTTCTTACACCTGCTTAATTCCCTTATATGATTGATTCACAAATCAACTCACCCAAAACCTATCGTAATCTGAAAAAAGTATTTGATTGGTTGTCACAAAACCAACCACAAGATTATACGCATTTCACCATTAATTGCCATTTTGTATTATTTTAAGACGTCCAGCAATTTATAAGATTTCTTTTTATTAATTTACAGTATCTGTGTTTCTCTATATCGTTTCGAATGTGTTTAATATGCATTTGAGTTAATAAATTATTTGTTTTTTTTATTAGTTTTACATTTCATGCTAGGGGCTAACTATAAGGTGTTTAGATAAGGGCTGACCATTCAAATATTCTCTTTGGTTTGGTTTTTTCTTTCAGATTTTTCGTAGTGTAGGTGTAGGGGTTTAGAAACCGCATCGGCTGAAGAAAATTATAGTTCATGTATTTTAGCTACTAGTTTGAGTATTGGTTTGGTTTGGATATCCGTAATGTTTTAAAAGAGAAAGCATTTGGGTATTTATGTCTATCTGATACAGTTGAATCGTCCTAATTCGTTCAGTTGGATTCAGTTCATTCAGTTTTGGATAATTTTCCTAGGTCTAGTTTAGGCATGAATTTTAACAATAAACCACACTGTACTTTGATTTTTGACACTTGGTGTAAGGAGTTTACACGTGGTGCATCTTTTTCATTTTCAGTGTATGTGTTGGATCGGCGGCTCAGACGTGGTATGACTCTTTGCTAAACCTCTGTTTTTTCTCCAAGCTCCTGTGAAAAGTCATTTTTTTGTTTTTTTTAAACTTCCTATTCATATATATGAAGGTTCAAATACACTTTCCCCAGCGGAGTTATAGCACGATTCCTCAGACCAACAGGCTGATCTGCATACAAAAAATGAAGGAATAGCTACGCTAACCTATAGAGCGAAAAGGAGAATCCGTTCAGAACATGGAGAACCAAGTAGCTAAATAAGAAACAGAAGAAGAAGAGTCAGGTTGAGCTCGCGACAACGGATCCAGACGACAGCGAATCGTTTTCTTGATAGCTGCAATGATCGCAGAAGCCGGAGTGGAGGAGGCGTTATGGAGCCTTGCATTTCTCTCCCTCCAAACCCCGTATAAGGAGGCTTGAAATGCAAGTCTCAGAATCAGTGATTTGTTAGCATCGCGAGAAGGAGAAAGAAGCCAAAGTAGACATTGGTCAAAATCCACAGGAGGAGATACATTTGCTGCCGAAAAGAAAGTGTGCCATATCCCGTGGCTAAACGAGCAGTCAAAGAAAATGTGCTGACGAGTCTCATCAGCCACATCACAGAGGAGACAACGAGAAGGAACCGTAAGTGTCCACAGCCTCAGCCTGTCACGCGTCTGCAATCGGTTTCTAGCTGAGACCCAGCACAAGAAAGCATGCTTCGGGATACACCCCTTGAACCAGACCAACCAGATGGCCACGAGGGTGAAGAGCGCGCCAGGTAGTGGATGTGGAGAAGTCTCTTGTAGTGCCATCAATACCAATACGCCATCCATAACTGTTGTCAGAAGAGGAGAGAGCAATGGGATCTGCAGGTGGAAGGCATTGACAAAGCAAGCAGATGATCGGGTTTCGACTCCTTGACCCATCAATCCACCACTTCCCGTCAACAATTGCATCCGAAACGATAGCAGTGAGAGATAAACCAGAGCAACGAGGACTAGTGGGTCCTGTGATGTCAATAAGAGGACCGAGGGAAGACCAGTTGTCGTGCACAAAACTTGCAGTCATTCCCGAACCCAGATCACAGACAAGAAAAGGGCGAGCCAAGTGACGAAGCTTGAGAAGCTGTTTCCAAATCCAGCTACCCAAGTTGCAATCAGTAGACCAAAAATTACCCACCTGAATTAGGTTTAACCGAACCCAAGAAACGCATAACGAGCCCGCAGAAGTAAAGATCAACCAAATAAGCTTCAATCCCATCACTTTATTCCAATCCTTAAGCCGTCTCAATCCTAAACCACCACTTTCCTTGGGGGTACAGACCGAGTCCCAAGCGACTTTAGCGCCTCTAGCGGAAGATGCATCTCCTTTCCAGAGAAATGCATTGCACATTTTCTCAAGAACGCAATGCACTGGTTAGGAAGAATGAAGATTGAAGACCAAAAGTTGATGGTAGAGTATATGACAGACTGAATCAGCTGAAGCCTTCCTGCGAAAGACAGATGCCTAACTGTCCAAGACGAGAAACGCTTCTCAATCTTCTCCACAAAGGGCTGGTAATCATGCTTATTCATCTTCTTGGTAGTTAGAGGCACGCCTAGGTACCTAACAGGAAAAGAGCCCTGAGATAAGCCATACGTTTCACAGAGGATGCGAGAATCCTGCAAGTTACTGCCATCCAAAAACAGAAAGGATTTCTCCTTATTAATTCCAAGACCCGAAGATTTTTTAAACTCATCTAAAATACCAAGAATACCGCTTAAAGAATCCTCAGAACCATCAAATAAAATAAGCAGGTCGTCAGCAAAACTGAAATGCGTGACTAGAGGAGCAAAACAGGCTGGGTGAGGACTGAACACATTATCCACCGCACCCTTGTCGAGCATCTTGGAGAGAATATTCATCGCAAGAGCAAAGAGCAAAGAGGATATAGGATCTCCCTGTCTAAGCCCCTTTTTACCGTCGAAAAAGCCAATAAGACCACCATTGAATCCAACGCTATATGAGGCCGAAGTGATACACTCGCGAATCCAGTTGATGAATATCTGGGGGAGCTGAATGGCATGAAGGATGTTGATGAGAAATGACCAGTTGGGCTGTCAAACGCCTTGTTGATATCGATTTGAAGACAACCTCTTCTAGTCTGACCAACCCGGTGCAACCCATCAACCAGTTCCGAGGCTAAAAGAACATTCCCACAAATGAGGTGCCCCTGAATGAAACCTACTTGGTTGAGCTGGACAACATCCGGGATAAAGAGTTTGAGCTTTGATTTGATAAGCCTGGCAATGACGTTGTAGATAGTAGAGCAGCAAGATACCGGCCTGAAGCTCTTGAGAGAGTCAGCACCAGGAATCTTCGAGAGCAGAGCAATAATGGTTGAATTGAAACTTTTCAATAGAAACCCTGTCGTAAAGAACTCACGCACTGCTTTGATCGTGAGCTCACCAACTATCGGCTAAGCGTCCAAGTAGAACTCAACCGGGAACCCATCAGGCCCTGGAGCCTTGTTCTTTGGCATAGAGAATAACGTCGAGACAATTTCATCATCCGAAGGAATGATAGACAGAGACTGAGCCAGAGAAGAGGAGCAGTGGTAAGGATGTAACCTGCGACTTGAGTCGACCGAAAGCGGCTGGAAATCCTCTGGCTTTTGAACCCAACAGCTGATGATAAAAGGAGATGATCATGTCTTAAATTTGGTCAACATTGTCAATCTTGATACCTTGAGAGTTCCTGAGAAATTTGATCGAGTTCCTGGCCTGGTGTGCAATCACAACCTTATGGAAGAAAGCTGTGTTTGCATCCCCATCCTTGAGCCAGCGAATCTGAGATTTTTGGCGATAGAAGGATTCTTGAGCATCAGCGAAGAAGTTCTAATTCTTTCTGGCGTCAATTGATATGTTCATAATTTGCATCATTTAGATTGTATATTTCACTCTAAAGCATATCTTATTCCATGCATTTTAGGTCCTTAGGGTTTGTTTTAGGACTTAGGAGATGCATTAGGTCCCAATGAGTCTTTGCATGTTTTGAGTGTTTATCAGGTGCATTTGGAGCTATTTGGAGTTGAAAAGGTGAATCCAGGAAGAGAAATGGTGATCAAAGCTTGAAAGGAGGTTCTCGGCCATTCTCGCTGACCAGAAAGGTTTTTCTCGGCCATTCTCGCTGACCAGAAAGGTTTTTCTCGGCCATTCTCGCGTATCAGGAAGGATTTTATCGGCCAAAACACGTACCGCGGGTGGATCTTATCGGCCAAAACGCGTACAGGCTAAAGGATTTCTCGGCCAAAATCTCCGGGTGCAGACACGTTTCCGAAATCGCCTGTCCGGGGAACCTTCAAGTCCGATTCAGATGTCGGGTGCTTCATCAAAGTTTGAGAGGGTTGGATCACGGTTCTATAGCAAGTGGAATCAGTCAATTCGGACGCGTGAGCAGAAAGTTAAGCTTGGCGGAAGAAAATCCTGTCTTGCTGCCGTTTTGGACCAAACCGATAAGCTCTGAAGAATGCGAAGGATGGTGCACTTCCAGGCCGATTCAGTTTCCGGGGCCTTCATGAGAATCAGAGACATTTGATTCCTCTTTCCATAACGTCCAATATCATTCAATTAGGAGCTATGAGCAGGAAGATACGGTCTCCGGAATGGACACATGTCTAGACGCCTCTCTCTGATTGTGTAAATGCACTGCAAAGATGAGCCCTCCTGGAAGCCTTCCACTTCCCAAGAACCGAAACTTTCTTCATCAAAGTTGGAGATATATGAGTCCTATGTCCTCTTCAACCGGAATCACTCAATTCGGACAAGTATCTTAGAAGTTACACTCTCCGGAATGCGAAGTGGTCCAAGCTGCTCTGAATGCTGCGAGAAAGCCTTGCGACTTGGTTAACTCGCAGGCCTGAAGACGAATGCCTGGAAATTGATGCTGCGAGTTGAGAAGTGCGGGTAAGCTATATGGATGAGGTCTGAGGCTCCCGAGCAAGAAAATTGCTAAGTCCACAAT